AAATTTTTTTGAATGCGTGGGGGGGGTTTTGAATAAGTGTGAGAGTAATGGTGGTTGGGGATTTTTTTTTTTTTAAGCTAAAGTGGGTTAAAAATGTTTAGGGGGTAAAAAAAGGAAATTTGGGGTGCCCGGGAAATGAAAAAGGGGACCTTTTAATTTAGCTTGTGTAGAAAGAGATTTGGTAATAAGTAATCACATTTTATGAAAAAGAGGATAATAAATTACAAGGTATGATAAGCTGTTATGAAAGTAGTTTATTGGGATTATGTATTGGTGGAAAAAAGGGTTTGGGATGGGTAGGCTCGGATGTACAGTTTTATGAGGGCAACTGATTTTGGTTTCTTTAAATTTAGTTGTAGTACAGTTGATAAGAGGGTAGATGGGGAAAAGGGAAGGTGGGCAACAACAAGTAAGGGGGGAGGTAAAAGGGTTAAAACTAAGGTAGAGGATTTTTGGGTTGAGATATAAGCGACTTTTTGCAAAAAATGTGGGCTAGTGCAAATGAGTAGTGGGGGGGGGGGGGTTGAAGGGGGGTTTGGGAATGTTTTAAAATATGAGTATTAGAGTGGGGCAGAAGTTTGTGGTTTTGAGGGTGGGGCGGAGGAGGAAAGAGGGAGTGATGGGAATATGAAGAAAGGGGTGTATAAAAGGAAAAGGGTTGGGCTATGAGAGGTTTTTCAAAGCGAAGTGTTAAAAGAAGGCGATTTAATGGAGAGTAAAAGAAGTAAAGAGAGTGGTGAGAGAGTGCAAAAGGAGAGCGGGAATAGAGTGGGAGAGGCACTGTAAGAAATTTAATGAAAATAAGAAAAAATTTTGGAGTGAGTTAAAAAAGTTAAGAAACCCAAGGAAAAGTAGGATTTGTCAGTTAAAAACAGAGTAGGGGAGTTAGTAGATGGGGGGATGGAGGTATTAGGTAGATGCGAGAATATTTTAGGAACTTTTAAATGTTAAGGAAGAAAGAGGCAGTAATTTCATTGCACTGGTAGGGGGGTATACATCTTTTACGGTGAAGAAGAGCAGGAATGAAAGTTGTGGGGGGGGTTTACGTGAGGATTAGGGTAGAATATGGGGGAAGGGGTAAGGAAGATGGAATGAGGGGATATGAAAGAATGTTTAAAGCGGGGGGGAATATAGGGGTTGGAGTGGTTGGACTTTCGTTTAATAAAGTATTGAAAGAGGGAAGGGTTTACCTAGGGATTGGCAGAGAGCATGTATAGTCCCTTTATATAAAGGAAGGGGACAAGAGACTGTTAAAATTATATAGGAATAAGTTTACTGAGTATACCAGGAAAGTGTACGGTAGGGTTTTTTAACTGAAAGAATTAGAGGTAAATAGAATGAGGATTGCGAATGGCAAGGAGGTTTCAGAGTGAGTAGGGTATGTGTAGAACAAGTGTTTACATTGAAACTATAATTTTGAAAAAGTATTTAGATAAAGTAAGGGAAGTTTTCATTGCATTATGGATTTAGAAAAGGCTATGATAGAGGGATAGAGGACAATGTGGCAGATGTTTGCAAGTATATAGAATAGGTGGTAAGTTATTAAATGCTGTACAGATTTTTATGAGGATAGTGAGCTCAGTTTAGGGTGTGTAGAAGAGAGGGGAGACTATTCCCGGTAAAAATAGGGCTTAGACAGGGACGTGTAATGTCACCCTGGTTGTTTAATATATTTATAGATGGGGTTGTAAAGGAAGTAAATGCTAGGGTGTTCGGGAGAGGGGTGGGATTAAATTTTGGGAAATCAAATTCAAAATGGGAATTGACCAGTTACTTTTTGCTGATGATACTGTGCTCATGGAGATTCTAAAAAAAATTGCAAGGTTAGTGGATGAGTTTGGGATTTTGTGTAAGGGGAGAAAGTTGAAAGTGAACTATAAAAGTGTAAGGTTGATGGGGTATCAAATGATTTAGATAAAGAAAAATTGGATTTTCAATTGGGGAGGAGGAGTATGGAAGAAGTGAAAGTTTTCAGATTACTTGGGGTTGACGTGTCGGCGGATGGATTTATGAAGGATGAGGGTAATCACAGAATTGATGAGGGAAAAAAAAGGGGAGTGGTGCGTTGAGGTATATGTGGAGTCAAAAAACGTTATCTATGGGGGCAAAAAAAGGGAATGTATGAAAGTATAGCACCACCAACACTCTTATATGGGGTGAAGCTTGGGTGGTAAATGCAGCAGCGAGGGACGGTTGGGGGCAGTGGAGATGTTCCTATTTAAGGGCAATGTGTGGTGTAAAATTTATGCAGAAAATTCGGAGGGGGGGAAATTAGAAAAGGTGTGGAGTTAATAAAAGTATTAGTCGAGGGCAGAAGAGGGTTTTTTTGAGGTGGTTTGGTCATTTAGAGAGAATGGATCAAAGTAGAATGACATGGAAAGCATTTTAAATCTATAGGGGAAGGAAGGAGGTAGGGGTTGTCCTCAAAAGGGTTGGAGAGAGGGGGTAAAGGGGGTTTTGTGGGGAAGGGGCTTGGACTTCAAGCAAGCGTGCCCTGAGCGTGTTAGATAGAAGTGAATGGAGACGATGGTACTTGGGACCTGACGATCTGTTGGGGTGGAGCAGGTATATTTAGTGAAGGGATTCAGGGAAACCGGTTTTTTTTCATATAGTCGGACTTGAGTCTGGAAAGGGAAGTACACGTACAATGCCTGCACTTTAAAGGAGGGGGTTTGGGATATTGGCTTTTTGGAGGGATATGTTTTTAATTTTTATATGGTATGCTTCAAACTTTTTGTATTCGAGCACCTCGAAAAAACAGGATAAGTGTGAGTGTGGTGAAAGTGTTGAATATAGAAAGTATTTTTTTTTTGGGATTTTCTTTTTTTTTTTTTGGGTCACCCTGCCCGGGGGGAAAAACGGCCCGGGGTTTTGTTAAAAAAAAAAATTAATCAATCAAAAAGTAAAACAATATAACCTTCATAGGGCTCATAAGAAATAATTTTTATTAATTTTTTTTGTAAAGCTTTGCATCGGGACAAATTTTTCATGTGCCAATGTGTTTATCCTAATATTTAAGATACACATTTTGTGTCTTCCTACTATTTCAGTAAAAGTTATGATTGATTTGATCCCATTGTTGTTCCCAGTTTTGAAATTAATTTTAAAGCAGTATTATAATAAAAAGCCATGCCCCATACCACACTGAGTTTCCCTAATTCTGAACATTCCATTTTTTTACCTACTTATAAACTTCCCCCTCTTTTAAAATTTTTGAGGGCCCAAAACCCCTTTATATGTATTATATTTAAACTGTATTTGGAAAAATTCAATTACTCATTACATTTGAAAATTACTTTTATAAACCCCTCGGGGGAAAAAGATCACTGACTAAAAAACCATACCCATCAAAACACTGCAGCTGAAGTTCAGAAATATACATTGCCCAACATTTATGAAAATAACATTTTTAAAAGACCACAAATCTGTCTGAAAACAGCAATGATATGATTTAAGTTAGGGATTACATTTTTTATCACAGTTTCAGTCACTGGGTTTTGTGAGAAGGGTACATTTTTAACTTATATAAGTCGAGATTCAAAATTCATAACCTAAAAATTCACAGTTCTACACATTAAATGGAACACAGTTAACCCTCTCATAACGCACCTGCACATAATGTGTTTAAAAACATGCAATAAAAAAACTGAAGAGTGAAAAAGTCTTGTTATGATATGCTATAAATAAAAAAAATTAAACACATACTGTAGATGTCTTGAGTATATTCACTGAACCATCAGCAGTACCCACCAGCCTCCCACCATCTTCAGTGAGAGCAAGTTATGGCTACCAGACAGTTTTTTAACTGAGGTAATGTTTCCCCAAATTTATGCATATTAGAATACTTTATTTATATAAAACACTTGTATAAAAGAAGTCACAGCACAGGGTAAGCTGATTGGGATGTCGGCACACTAAAAAGATGGTGACTCTGTGAATGTTGGTAAATGCTGTTTTCCTTTCTGGGCCACCCTGCCCTGGCAGACAAAATCAAGTTAATAATAAAGAAAAATCACTGCCATGACTACAGTGAAATAACACATTCTTACACTTTTCATGGTGATTTAGCGAGGAAAATTTTTGTAAAGGAACTATGATCTTGAATAAGACATAACTACTACACAAGCTGAATATCCCAACACACTGCACATTCTAGTGTTCTCTTCCTACCTTTCAAGGTAGAGAAGTGTAATTTTTTTTCTTGCGTCTGATAAAACAAGGAAAGATGTATCGACAAATCATCAATTATGCTGCTGCCACTGTTCACTTGTACTGTCAACATAGTAATATTTTGAGAGTGAGTAAAGGTACATCAATTCCCTGACTATCTTTGCTACAACCTAAGCTTATGATGAAGCAGACTCCTTTGCCTCCTTAAACACATTGGTTCCTCAAGCACTGATTACACAAAGTAAATGTTGTACAGACAAATCAGGTATGGACTAAGAGTTAGATACTGAAGTCTGTTACCTCACAATATTGCATGAAGCCAAAGTCAGAATCATCAGTACTCTCCACAAATCCTAGACACAGCCTCTCTTTACATTTCATTAAAGTATATTCAGTACTGCATCTTACTTTTTCAAATGCATTCATCTTTAGTACATTTTTCTTTGGTATAGATGTAATTAGGTCCTTTTTGTTTGATACTATTTCAAACAAAAATGTCTCTCATTTTTACTATGCTGACATGTAGTTGTGTTTCAGCTGATCAACCTCAGCTACACTGAACTCAACTCAGCAGGCCCACATGAACCCTCCCCACTTCTTATATGCCTCAAGTAATGGCTAATAATGTGAGGCTATGCTACAGTGCAGTACTCTTTACCTAGTACAATAGTAAAAAAAAAAAGTAAAAAATATAGTTGACTGGAAAGCAACAATTTTTTCAATATATTCTTCACTTTACATAATGCATGGACTTTCAGGAATTTAACCTGCGTCTCATGAGAGGGTTTACTGCACCGTTAACGCAGGAATACAATTGATTAAGTACTCACACATCCATCGAAGTCGTCACCACACCAGTTTAGTATTTGCTTTAACCGTGTCTTATACTTTCCCTGCCCACTGGATGATTCTCCAATGAGAGCTGAATAAGTAGCAAATAACACTCCCTTTTTCACATTACCATTTAGATCTGAATTTATCTTTCCGTATTTCATTTTACTCAGAAAGTACACTGATATATGTCCACAACCAATGTCTTTTAAGTCACGTTCAGCATCGTATTTAAGGTCATTTGACACTGACACCCATATAGACTTTTTCCGGCCTTTCAAGTAATTCTCAAATATAATTCCTGCTATTGTGCGTCCTTTGCCAACACCAGCGCCATCACCTGTAAATAAAAAAGTTCAATACAAAAATTGAATAAAAAAAAAATTGGAGACCTAAAGATTCACCCCTCCACACCAAGAGCAACAGTTAACTAGCTTTATAAATTCTTATGATTAGGTAAATTAAGCTATTCATATTCTGTAAATTCTAGCATAGTTTCATTAAATGGCTAGGTTAGTTCTGGTTTCAAATTAAAAAATCAACATATTAAAAATCTGCTTAATTTAAGTTAACTATATTCCTTGGGGTGGCAAATCTTCATGAGAATCATAATATGAAGTATAGAACAAGATATAAAATTACTTTCTAAAGATTTTCTGCTTTGACACCTCTTCATGGTAAACTATCAAACCTACACTGGATACCTACCTCCATGTTAAAGTATACAAGACATAGATGAAAGCACTTCCATTCCTCACTCCCTCATACCACTCCTGCAAAATTACATGTTACTTCCTTAGTTTTACTTTTTGTATTCATACCACATATTGTTGTAGCAAGCTATATAAGGCTCAACTACATTAAGGTAACTGAGGAAAATTTCAATGGTCTGTCCCAGTACATCTTGCAGTATTGTATAAACAATTCATCTTCTCACAACTAACCGCTCTCAACACTGGTACTTTCCTTTAGTTGAATCTGACAAACTGTTTTAAAAAGAAGTCCTAGACTATGTCTAAGAGAACTATTGAGAAATATAGAGAGTAAGTGTATTGTATATAAAATCAAATGTAAGTATTAGTTTGTAAACAGAAGAAGACAAGCAATTGCAAAACACACAAAAGACTTATGTAATACAACTCAGTCAAATGACAAAGCAATAATATTATCCTGGATGTATAAAAAGATTGAAGAAGTGAATGAGAGAAGAAAAGAAAAAAAAAAACTAGAAAATTAAACAAGCAATAAAGTGGTAATTAAAGGTATGGTGATTATGTTACCTTGTGTGTAAAGAAAATACAAACAGAAACAGGGCCATTAAACTAAGTATACTGGAACCAGGGCATAACCAAAAGACAACTGGTTACTAAGGAAATAGATGCCTGACAAAATTTTATATACACCTCACCTATAAGGAATCCTGCCCGTGTTCCATCTGGTAGAAACTGTTCATGCTGCTGAGAGGCATATGTGATGCTCTCTAGCTGTAACGCTGAGAGTTTCCCTGTATCAATTGAGGAATCAGGTATGTCCATTTCATACCATACATCAGGTGGCTCCACTGAAGACATCGATGCAGTTTCAACGACCTGATCAGGATGCTTTATGCCAACTTTTACTATGGGGAAAGTAATGTTAATCCTAAGTTACTCTTTCTTTTTCCATCACAGATCATATAAAATAATATAAAGGTATATCAATATGCTAGTAGTAAAATTTTAATCATCAAGTTTCATTTTCTAACAAAGACAAACTTACATTTTGAAGGCATATAGTCCGAATATGTTTCTGCAATACCCATATCATCATCCTCCTCCTCCTCTTCTGGGTTGGGTTGTGCCATCATCAGAGGGTTTACTTGCATCCCCATCTGTTACAAAGCAATAATTATATATTAACTGAAAGGTACCTTACAGAAATCATACAAGACCTAGTCTGAATATCATAAAGCTACATACATGTACAAGTCTAGCATTAATAACAGAGATGAGCTAGATACATGAAAACCTCTGTGTTTTCTACTTCTAAATAAATGAAAATGCAATGTACATTACTTGGTAATCCATATTACTAACTATTATCACACTTCTAATACCTGAAAATTATTTTTTATCTATTATCACACTGGCCGATTCCCACCAAGGCAGGGTGACCCGAAAAAGAAAAACTTTCACCATCATTCACTCTATCACTGTCTTGCCAGAAAGGTGCTTTACACTACAGTTTTTAAACTGCAACATTAACACCCCTCCTTCAGAGTGCAGGCACTGTACTTCCCATCTCCAGGACTCAAGTCTGGCCTGCCGGTTTCCCTGAACCCCTTCATAAATGTTACTTTGCTCACACTCCAACAGCACGTCAAGTATTAAAAACCATTTGTCTCCATTCACTCCTATCAAACATGCTCACGCATGCCTGCTGGAAGTCCAAGCCCCTCGCACACAAAACCTCCTTTACCCCCTCCCTCCAACCTTTCCTAGGCCGACCCTTACCCCGCCTTCCTTCCACTACAGGCTGATACACTCTTGAAGTCACTCTGTTTCGCTCCATTCTCTCTACATGTCCGAACCACCTCAACAACCCTTCTTCAGCCCTCTGGACAACAGTTTTGGTAATCCCGCACCTCCTCCTTACTTCCAAACTACGAATTCTCTGCATTATATTCACACCACACATTGCCCTCAGACATGACATCTCCACTGCCTCCAGCCTTCTCCTCGCTGCAACATTCATCACCCATGCTTCACACCCATATAAGAGCGTTGGTAAAACTATACTCTCATACATTCCCCTCTTTGCCTCCAAGGACAAAGTTCTTTGTCTCCACAGACTCCTAAGTGCACCACTCACCCTTTTCCCCTCATCAATTCTATGATTCACCTCATCTTTCATAAACCCATCCGCTGACACGTCCACTCCCAAATATCTGAATACATTCACCTCCTCCATACTCTCTCCCTCCAATCTGATATCCAATCTTTCATCACCTAATCTTTTTGTTATCCTCATAACCTTACTCTTTCCTGTATTCACCTTTAATTTTCTTCTTTTGCACACCCTACCAAATTCACCCACCAATCTCTGCAACTTCTCTTCAGAATCTCCCAAGAGCACATGTCATCAGCAAAGAGCAACTGTGACAACTCCCACTTTGTGTGTGATTCTTTATCTTTTAACTCCATGCCTCTTGCCAAGATCCTCGCATTTACTTCTCTTACAACCCCATCTATAAATATATTAAACAACCACGGTGACATCACACATCCTTGTCTAAGGCCTACTTTTACTGGGAAATAATTTCCCTCTTTCCTACATACTCTAACTTGAGCCTCACTATCCTCGTAAAAACTCTTCACTGCTTTCAGTAACCTACCTCCTACACCATACACCTGCAACATCTGCCACATTGATCCCCTATCCACCCTGTCATACGCCTTTTCCAAATCCATAAATGCCACAAAGACCTCTTTAGCCTTATCTAAATACTGTTCACTTATATGTTTCACTGTAAACACCTGATCCACACACCCCCTACCTTTCCTAAAGTCTCCTTGTTCATCTGCTATCCTATTCTCTGTCTTACTCTTAATTCTTTCAATAATAACTCGACCATACACTATACCAGGTATACTCAACAGACTTATCCCCCTATAATTTTTGCACTCTCTTTTGTCCCCTTCGCCTTAATACAAAGGAACTATGCATGCTCCCTGCCAGTCCCTAGGTACCTTACCCTCTTCCATACATTTATTAAATAATTGTACCAACCACTCCAAAACTATATCCCCACCTGCTTTTAACATTTCTATCTTTATCCCATCAATCCCAGCTGCCTTACCCCCTTTCATTTTACCTACTGCCTCACGAACTTTCCCCACACTCACAACTGGCTCTTCCTCACTCCTACAAGATGTTATTCCTCCTTGCCCTATACACGAAATCACAGCTTCCCTATCCTCATCAACATTTAACAATTCCTCAAAATATTCCCTCCATCTTCCCAATACCTCTAACTCTCCATTTAATAACTCACCTCTCCTATTTTTAACTGACAAATCCATTTGTTCTCTAGGCTTCCTTAACTTGTTAATCTCACTCCAAAACTTTTTCTTATTTTCAACAAAATTTGTTGATAACATCTCACCCACTCTCTCATTTGCTCTCTTTTTACATTGCTTCACCACTCTCTTAACCTCTCTCTTTTTCTCCATATACTCTTCCCTCCTTGCATCACTTCTACTTTGTAAAAACTTCTCATATGCTAACTTTTTCTCCCTTACTACTCTCTTTACATCATCATTCCACCAATCGCTCCTCTTCCCTCCCGCACCCACTTTCCTGTAACCACAAACTTCTGCTGAACACTCTAACACTACATTTTTAAGCCTACCCCATAACTCTTCGACCCCATTGCCTATGCTCTCATTAGCCCATCTATCCTCCAATAGCTGTTTATATCTTACCCTAACTGCTTCTTCTTTTAGCTTATAAACCTCCACCTCTCTCTTCCCTGATGCTTCTATTCTCCTTGTATCCCATCTACCTTTTACTCTCAGTGTAGCTACAACTAGAAAGTGATCTGATATATCTGTGGCCCCTCTATAAACATGTACATCCTGAAGTCTACTCAACAGTCTTTTATCTACCAATACATAATCCAACAAACTACTGTCATTTTGCCCTACATCATATCTTGTATACTTATTTATCCTCTTTTTCTTAAAATATGTATTACCTATAACTAAACCCCTTTCTATACAAAGTTCAATCAAAGGGCTCTCATTATCATTTACACCTGGCACCCCAAACTTACCTATTACACCCTCTCTAAAAGTTTCTCCTACTTTAGCATTCAGGTCCCCTACCACAATTACTGTCTCACTTGGTTCAAAGGTTCCTATACATTCACTTAACATCTCCCAAAATCTCTCTCTCTCCTCTACATTCCTCTCTTCTCCAGGTGCATACACGCTTATTATGACTCACTTTTCGCATCCAACCTTTACTTTAATCCACATAATTCTTGAATTTACACATTCATATTCTCTTTTCTCCTTCCATAACTGATCCTTCAACATTACTGCTACCCCTTCCTTTGCTCTAACTCTCTCAGATACTCCAGATTTAATCCCATTTATTTCCCCCCACCGAAACTCCCCTACCCCCTTCAGCTTTGTTTCGCTTAGGGCCAGGACATCAAACTTCTTTTCATTCATAACATCAGCAATCATCTGTTTCTTGTCATCCGCACTACATCCACGCACATTCAAGCATCCCAGTTTTATAAAGTTTTTCTTCTTCTCTTTTTTAGTAAATATCTACAGGAGAAAGGGTTACTAGCCCATTGCTCCCGGCATTTTAGTCGCCTCATACGACACGCATGGCTTACGGAGGAAAGATTCTTTTCCACTTCCCCATGGACAATAGAAGAAATAAAGAAGAACAAGAGCTATTTAGAAAAAGGAGAAAAACCATAGATGTATGTATGTATGTATGTATGTATGTATGTATGTATGTTATATATATATATATATATATATTATATATATATAATATATATATATATATATTATATATATTATATATATATATTATATATATATATATATATATATATATATATATATATATATATATATATATATAATATATTATATATATATATATATATATATATATATATATATATATATATATATATATATATATATATATATATATATATATATATATAATATAATATATATGCATGTGCTGTTATGAAGTTACCAAAGTGTAAGTGATAGTAGCAAGATATCCCTGTTATCTAGCATGTTTATGAGACAGAAAAAGAAACCAGCAATCCTACCATCATGCAAAACAGTTAAGTTTCTGTTTACATCATCTGCAGACGTAGTACTTCCTGGTGGTTGCTGTCTTTACCAACCTACTACAAATGTAATATCAGAAATATCTGTAACTTGATATAAACCATAAAGCCTTTCCAATCTCACTGACAAAGTGCAAAATTGGAAGTAAGTTAAATAGATTAAGTACGTATTGTATTTTAACTCTTTCATTGTCGGTGCCGCAGTACTACGGCTTGCAAGCCAGTGTTGGTGCCGTAGTATTATGCCAAACTTCTAGTGGCTTCAAATCTAGCGGGAGAAAGCTGGTAGACCTACATGTGAGAGACTGGGTCTGCGTGGTCAGTGTGCATAGTATAAAAAAAAATCCTGCAGCACAAAGTGCATAGTGAGAAAAAAACTCCGACCATATTTTTGGTTTAAAACGCCAACTTCGAGGTACGTATATTTATGGTTGTATTTTCTTGGTCTCATTTAATAGAATGGAAGATACATTATAGAATTTGAGATGATTTTGATTGGTTTCATGACGAAAAGTACCTTGAAACTGAGTTTCAACATATCAAAAAATGTTTGGTTTTTGCCGAAGTTCAAGAGTAAACAAATGATGTCACCGTCCAATACGAGTCCAACTTGTCAGTCTAATATGCGGTCATGAATGGGTTGACAATTATACAAATATTACAATAATGCAGTAGTTTGCATAACAGTAAATCTTCTATTTTTTGTGTGAATAAAAATTTAAAATGGAAAGCAAGAGAGGCCTGGAGACATGACTAATGAACAGACAATGTTATTTTAGTGCTAGGAATGTCTGCATTGTTTATTCTGGACCCTATTTTGAAATTGGCATCTTTTGAAATTTGTGTGAAATAGGCCAAATTTCCAATTTCTGACCACTTGATTGGATTGTTGAAATCAGTAAATGGGTGGTTTCTTGTACTCAATCGATAGAACAAATGGAGCTCTAGCGAAATAGCTATGAATTTGGTTGACTGGAACAATGGAAGTGGCCAAAAATAGAGCTCAAAGTGGGCAAAATCACCGATGCATATATATCGCCAAAACCACTGATTTCATGTGTAATTCTGTAAGTTTTCCATCAAATTTCATATAAATAGGGCTCAAAGTGGGAAAAATCACTGATGCATATACATCGCCAAAACCACTAATTTCACGTGTAATTCTGTAAGTTTTCCATCAAATTTCATAATTTTGGTGTCATTACCGTCAAGAAAAGATTCTCTATTATTTCATAAAAATTTATTTTATTATTTTTTTTTAAATTCTTCGACACTTAGAGCAAGTTTGTGAGCAGGGATCTCAACAGTGATAGGGTTAAATATACAGAAACCTATACATTCCTGCAACACTTTTGAAGTTTATAGCTGAAGCAGCACAATGAAGTACTCAATAAAGGTTGGAGGGAGGGGGTAAGGGAGGTTTTATGGGCAAGGGGCTTGGACTTCCAGCAAGCGTGCATGAGTGTGTTAGATATGAGTGAATGGAGATGAATGGCTTTTGGGACCTGACTAGCTGTTGGAGTGTGAGCAGGGTAATATTTTGTGAAGGGATTCAGCAAAATCAGTTAGCCAGACAAGAGTCCTGGAAATGGGAACTACAATGCCTGCACTTTAACCCCTTGAGGGTCCAGAGGCCAATCTCAAGACTGAGAGGCAGGGTCCAAGAATTTAAAAAAAAAAAAAAAAAAAAAAATTATTTTTTCTTATGAAATGGTAGAGAATCTTTTTCTGAGGGTAATAAAACAAAAAAGTATGAAATTTGGTGGAAAATTGACAAAATTATGCTCTCACGAATTTTGCTGCATCAGTGACATTTACGCATCGGCAATTTTGCCGACTTTGACCCCCATTTTAGGCCAATTACATTATTCCAGTTGACCAAATTCTTAGCTATTTTGCTAGTATTACTTCTATTTTATCGACTGAACACAAGAAATCACCCAGTCAACTGTTTCAACTACCCAATAAAGTGATCAGAAATTGGTAATTTGGCAAAATATTCCAATTTCAAAACAGGATCCAGAATAAACAATGCAGGCATTCCTGGCACTATACTAATATTTCCTCTTCTTATTAGTTATGTTTTCAGGCTATACAAATGAATTCCAATTTAATTTTTTATTCGCATAATGAATTTTCATTTACACCAAAAAATAGAACATTTACTGTTATGAAATATTGTAATATTGTATAAATAATGTCAGTGCATTCATGAATGTATATTAAACCCAACAGCTGACATGCATTAGATGCATGATGTCATTTATTTACTCTTGAACATCGGCAAAAATTTAACATTTCCACTACATTGAGCTCAGTTTCAAGCCATTTTCAGTACTAAAACCAACCAAAAAATGTAATATATATTCCATTTAATCAAATAACACCAAGAAATCACAAATACAACTATAAAAAACATACAAAAAAACACTGCAAATTTGCTGTTTTAATCCAAAAATATGGTTGCAGTTGTTTTTTCTCATTATGCACTGCAAGCTGCAGTATTTGTTTTATGTGGTGCACACTTATCACACAGATGTATTCTCTCATATATAGGCCCAAATTTACCACTTACAGGTTATCTGAGCTGAGCTGAGCTGAGCTCAAGCCGTAGTTCTACGGTTTGGACCCTGGCTTCAAAGTCATAGAACTAAGGGACGGACTCTCAAAGGGTTAAAGGAGGGGTTTGGGATATTGGCAGTTTGGAGGAACATCTAAGCTGTTGTATTTGAGCACCTCTGCAAAGACAGTGATTATGTACGAGTGATGGTGAAAATGTTGAATGATTAAAGTTTTTTCTTTCTTTTTGGGTCACCCTGCCTTGGAGGGAAAGAGACGTGTTAAAAAAAAAAAATGAACAGTGTGAGTATAGTGGACCTCTTATATACATATCAAGCAAATGGAATAAGCAGCATATTACTAAAAGCAGTAAAGAGCTTTTATGTGGCAAGTGAGGCTCAAGTTAGGGTATGTAAGAGAAGGAGGACTATCCAATAAAAGTGGGCCTTAGATAGGGATGTGGTATGTCATCATGATTGTTTAACATACTTATAGATGGGATTGTAATATAAGTGAATGCTAGTGTTGGAAAGAGGTGTGGGATTAAAACACAATGTATCTGATACAAAGAGGAAGCTGTCACAGTTGCTCTTATATGGCAGTTCTTTTGCAAAGGTTGGTGGATGAATTTGGGACAGCCATAACAACTTCATTTTAAAATTAACTGAAATATATACTGTTCCAGTCAGGTGTTTATACTCCTGGCAGCTGTGTTTTGTTTCATTATATAAAACATTTGCACCCATAGATGTTGACAACAATGGCACCCACAAATATCTAATAAAGATGAATAAAAAGTTATCATGAGACTAACTGTTTTATGTAACATGCCAAAATACAGCTGTCCCTGATAATTTTTCTTGTACAACTCACTGGAAGAATACAAATGTTGCTGGAATATGGAAACTGCCAGATTGAAGAAATAATAAATAAATCAAGTATTATTATTACCATACCTCCAAAGTGGTCTCCCAGGACCACCATTGTTTAGTGAGGACTGCGTTGGTTTTGGTACTGTTATAAATCCAAGTGAGGTCTGTATCTGTTAGATCAAATGGAGCTATGATGAGGTCTCTGAGAGACTCGTTTGAGCCTCGGCAGCTCTTCAACATATTATTTTGCGCAGAAATACTTGTGAATGCAGATTCCAAAGTAAATGGCCAACGACACTTAGAACATACTCCTTTTGAATAACACTTGACTTTGTGCTCTAAGCATATCAGTTTCTTATACAATTCGTCCACTGACTTGGCCAGTTCTAAAAGATTTATTAGATAGCGAAGAAACATAACGTGCTGTTGACTCCTGTAAAACCTCTTGCCTGTTCTATTAAGCAACTCTTTTTCAATTCTTGTACATGTTTTTTCTAATGCCATGGTAAACATGTCATTATTTGACAGTAAAATGGTTTTTGAAGCTTTAAAGTTTTTGGCAAATGGCTTCTGGATTTCGCTTCTCTGAGACTGATGGGAAGGGTTGTGTTTCTTTACTTCAATTATTTCAAGGAAATCTGGATCTGCATCACACGAACCCTCATGACTATATTTTCCATGCCATTTGCGAATTTGAACATGAGATGGAAGCCTTTCAGATTTTGTAGGTATAATAAATGAATCATCATTTGTCAAATCAACTACATCATTGTCACACATATTTTCATTTTTATCCAGAGTCAAGTCAAGCTGTGCTATTACACCATTTCTTGTGCCTATTAGAGGCAATGCTGCATAATCTGAGTCTTTTGTTAAGTTTTCTGAATACACAACTTCAATATCTGAGTTGTCATCTTCAGAACCACACAGTATAGGCAGATCCTCTTGTTCACTATGATGCACTGAAGTAAGAGAATGAATAGCCTGATTTTGTAGAACACACTGGCCTCCTTGCAAATCAGGAAGATCATCATCCTCTTCAAGCTCAGTAAAGAGAAATTCATCCCAAGAGTTTCTTTTTGCAAATCTGTTTTCATTTAACGATTTTCTATGAAATAATGGCATTTCCACATCACAGCTTTCTACCAAATCAATTATTTCACAATCAGAGTTCTCATCCATTGTGATAACCAAACTTTATTTTCAATACCCTGGCCCTAAAAACAAGCAAGCATCATACATTACATACTGAATCATCTTCTCACCATCAATGTCAATGAATGAGGGATATATAAAATGTAAAACTTAATTTTCAACAATAATGTACTCTGAGTACAAATTCTTACAATGTATATAGTACCTCTATCACACTTTCACATTTTACGCAAACTATATTTAAAATCACTAATAATGTAACATCCTGCACAGTCTCAACTTTTTCATTACATTCTTACAAACAAGTTATTGTAGTAATTATGATCAAAGGTTAAACCATTTTTTTTAGAGCTCAGAGAGCAAATTTGTGAAACACACACCCAAGAAGCTCCTGTCCATATTATCTAACGGCTAATACATCACAGAATAACCAGTACGTATCCGGATATTCAAGAAATGAACAGATTCAATCACCAAACCAGGTCCCAGAAAATAAAATGCCCACTTCTTGGTGTAGGATTCAAGGTGTTTCACAAAACTGGAGACTCTTCTAAGAAATACAATCAAGAAATAAATATGGCTGCCACAACCACCATGGTCTTAAGCCCAGCAGTTACCACCCTAGCCAATTCTACTCAGTTAATAAAGCAATGTTTAGTGAGCTTAAAAGAATACATACACACAATCTGACTGGATTCTACAGAACAAAAAGGAATTTAAAAGCCTGAATAAGACTGTAATTTAATGAGTAACAAGAATTCGAATGCTGACATTGGAAATTCAGAAAAAAACATATGAAATTAGGTATACATAGCAGGAGAGTCATAACAGAAAACTAGAATGAATTATGTGGAAAGTGTTTGCCTAGTTGTATTTATTTAACCCTTTAACTGTCCAAACATAGATCTATGTTCTTACCGCTAGCACTCCAAACGTAGAACTACGTTTTATTTTTCCTGCCTCCAAATTTGGCATGACTGGCCTAAGATGCCTGGTCAGCATAGAATGGGCCTTAACCCTCAGTGTGGGCAGTATTAAAAAAAAAACCTGGGACCACTTAGTACCTTGTGGGAGCTCCAGATCAGTTGAGCCCCAGCTAGAGCAAACAGCACGGCAAACACCAAGGGTTCACTGATGTCATGTGGTATTAACAATCCCCTTTTAAGAGGAAAGTGTCATCCTGCCAGAATGTCCTATAACCTATGCTCTAAGTAAAAAGAAACAATTCTGGAACTGTAATTTCGGCAGCCTTGCTGGCTGGCTGGCCACCTGACTGGCCGGTGGTTGGCTAGCCAGCTGGCTGGCTGATTGGCTGTCTCTATCTCTCTGTCTGTCTGTATCTATCTCTTTCTCTATCTCACAGGAACACGTATGTAAATACAATTATACATAGTGTAAATTAAACAGGATAACCCAAAAAATCCAGACCAATTGCTAAACTGTGCTTGTAGATAGTGATCGTGTGTAATACCAGTTGGTTCACGAGCAACTCTCTGAGACAAGAGAGGCAAGAAGACAGAAACACACAGGCAAGCAGAAAGACACACAGACAGACAGGCAAAGAGCTAGACAGGCAAAGAGCTAGACAGGCAGAGAGCTAGACAGACAGAGAGGTAGACAAAGAGCTAGACAGACAGACAGAGCTGAACAGGCAGATAGATAGACATGTTTATGTGTAACAGTGAAACCAAATAAAGCAAAGGCTCATCAAATGTCACCACTGTCATTAAGTGGGGTGATAAGAGGAGTGACACATTCTTACATGATGCTTCAAGGGAACTTATTATTATTATATACTCCGTGTATCCAAAACATTGCTGGGACCTATAAACACTATGCATATATTTCTAGACAATAGTACGTGACCAAGTGAAAATGTTCACCTGTCACTGTGTTTGTGACTATCTGAGTACTATTTCAGTACCTTATATTAGTGTCAGAACAAAGATTGGCTATCAGATCAAAAGAATTACTATAAATAGTAATTATCAGAACATAAAAACTATATAAAATACAAAAACGAGAAAAAAAGGTATATCGGCAACACTTCTGCAAGTGGAAGGACTCTATGTTGCCATCAGATGAGCATCAAGGGCCAACTTCTGCAAACTCAAATCTCGGTAAGTACTGACCTTAAAAAAAAATTTTTTTTGTCCTATGACGTGTAGAAAAATGCATTCTATTTCCATAAAAAAAAAAAAAAAAATTCAAAATATTCAGAGCTGGGCGAGAGAATGTAGATCTACATTTAGACAGTTAATGGGTTAATGCTACATATCCAAAAGACCCTCCCAAGAAGTCATTACTGATAAACCCTTCTGTAAGTCACTTGCAAAGGCAACTGCTCAAGAAAAAATTTCTTGCTTAACACTAATAAATTAAATAATACATGTAGGTCCCATTTTACAATGGTCCATTTTACAACTTTTCACATTAACGACCTTTTCAAAATTACCTAAAAACTTGAAAAAATTGAAAATTTTGTAAAAAAAAAAAAAAAAAAACTGAAAACACAATAATCGCAACAACACACAGCAGCAACACCTGCAAGTCCCAACACTCAATAAGCGGTTCTTTTATTTTTCGAGGTGTATTGTAGGTGGAATGACAGCGACATCAAGAGTTGTTTACACAAATAACCCGCATATAGAAGAGAGGAGCTTATGACGACATTTCAGTCCGACTTGGACCATTTACAAAATCACACTAACGAGGAGGAGAGCAGGATGGGTATATATATATGCAGGAGGTGGTAGTAGTAGTAGTAGTGGAAGTAGTGGAGGGGGAAGGAAGTAGTAGTGGGGAGGTAGTAAGAGTAGGAGGGGCCAGTCAAATACAGTGGACCTCCGGCATTCAATGGCATCAGTATACGTTAAATCCGGTATTCGATACATTTTAACGCAAAAATTTTGCCTCGCCACTCGTTAAAAAACCCGCCACACACGATTCGTCCGGGACGCGTCCATGCGAGTGCCAGTGTTTACAAGCCAGCCAGTGTGCTCGCATCTAAGCATACATTCGGTACATTCCATATTATCACAGTGTTTTTGGTGCTTGTTTCTGCAAAGTAAGTCACCATGGGTCCCAAGAAAGCTTCTAGTGCCAACCCTGTGGTAAAAAGGGTGAGAATTAGTATGGAAATTAAAAAAGATTTTGAAGGGTTTGGGGCTAACCCTGAGAAGCCTATGCCAGTTGTGGAATCCATTGTGCCTACTTCAAAAATTAAGGAAATGTGTGCAAAGTGGGTTGAACTGCAAACCTTTATGGATGAAAATCACCCTAACACAGCTATTGCAAGCCATGCTGGTGACTATTACAATGACAATGTTATGGCCCATTTTAGACAAATCTTAAAGGAACGGCAACAGAGGTCCAGTGACTCTCAAGCTGGTCCTAGTGGCATTAAAAGAAGGAGGTAAGTAACCCTGGAAAACAGCTTGCTACCTCAAGTCTTAATGGAAGGGGATTCCCCTTCTAAACATTAACAACTTCGACACTCTCCCCTCCTCCCATGCCATCAATCATCACCAGATCTTCATTAAAGATAAGTGTCATGTATTCTATTGTTAGTAGAGTACTACAAACTGTGCATGTCTTCTTCAGTTTGTGTGCATTAAACTTAATATTTCATGTGGTAATTTTTTTTTTCATGCTTTTGGGTGTCATGCATGGATTAATTTGATTTCCATTATTTCTTATGGGGAAAATTAATTTGCCTTCCGATAATTTTGGCATACGATGAGCTCTCAGGAAAGGATTAATATCGTATACCGGGGGTCCACTGTACTAAGAAAGAAGAGCACTGCAAGAGAGCTGGTGCCCATGGTAAGAGCAAGAACACCGAGGGGGGATGGGAAACAAATAAATAAGTAAATAAAGAAGGAACAAATACACAGGGCAGAAGAAAGACAACCCAAAGGAGAAAAAGGAAAAAGGTTAAGGAGAAAAAGGAAAGGGGAAGAAGAAAAAAGGAGGAATCAGGTTAGGTCACAAATGTTCTGAAGTTTGGAACATTTTACAATGCAGTGGGAGAGGAAGGCATCTACAGAGACAAAGCCAGGACCAAGATTCATACAAGGAAAGTTGTGTATTAGGGAGGATTCAACCAGACGGCGACTGTTAAAGTTGGAAGCAGGGAAGACAGTTTTAGCAGAAGGCTAGTCAATAGGACGACTATGATCTCTGACGTGACAGAGAAGAGCATTGGTAGTGTCGGCAAGCCTAACACTATTTTTGTGTTCCCTAGTCTGTCAGACAGTGATTGACCAGTTTCTCCAAAGTATTGAAGAGGACAGGAGGAACAAGAAATAGAGTAGACACCAGGAGCATCTGTAGAGGGAGGAGAGGTACGAACAAGATCAGTGCGAAGAGTGTTAGTCTGGCCGAAAGTAAGTTTGATGTCCAAGGAACAGAGAGAGTTGTTGAGATTAGAAAGACCGGAAATGTAGGGAAGGCAGAGGACAGAAGAGTTCCCAGGAATAGAGAGTTTGGGAGAGAAGAAATTGCATTTAGCACGTGAGAAGGCAGAGTCTATGAAATGGGAAGGGTAGCCAAGATGGGAAAATGAATTATGAAGAGTGGAAATTTCTGATTGAAGGAACTGAGGATCACATATGCGGAGAGCACGGAGAAAGAGGGAGATAAGAACACTTTTCTTGACAGAGGAAGCATGATAAGAAAAGTAGTGAATGTACATGTCACTGTGCATAGGCTTGCGGTAAACGGAAAATGCAAAACCTGTAACTGAGCGGTGGACATGAACATCAAGAAAAGGAAGCAAGGAATTAGATTCCCATTCAGCTTTGAACTTAATGGAAGGGGCAAGATTACTAAGAGCATCAAGAAATGGTTGGAAGAGACAAGAGTCATGAGGCCACAGAGCAAAGATGTCATCAACATAGCAGAGCCAGAGTGAAGGGTGCACATCGATAGTAGGAAGAAGAACAGTCTCGAAGTATTCCATGTAAAGATTAGCAAGGACAGAAGAGAGAGAGAGGAGAGCCCATAGCGACACCGAAGGTTTGAGAATAATATTTCCCTTGG